AGGACTTGAACCATGGTTGGCCATGTGGGAATCCAGCACCCTTATCCATCATACCACCTGCTGGCCCCAAGTACTTAAGTTTTTGTCCAAAGCTATATAATGGTAAGACATCGATAGAAGCATTCCCAAGCTGGGAGAAGGGACTGGAGAGGGGAGAAGTCAACAACAATAAAAAAAGAAAGCCAACATATATAATTAGGGCTTGAGTTCTATTACAGGAAGACACATACACAGAAAAGGACTGCAGAGAAACACGGGAAAATATGAATAGATTTCATCCAGGTTGCTTTCTGCCTTCCATATACTTATCTTCATTTACCAAAGAGTGTTGTGTGCATACATGAGTACAGAGCTGTAGAGATGCATATATATAGATAAAAATTTTACTTAGGGCCAGCAGGTGGTGTGGTGAAGGTGTTGGACTCTCACACGGCCAACCTTGGTGAGTCCTGAACCCACATCTTGAAAATCATGCTGGGTGCGTGTGCATGCATGGGCAAAATCCCAGGAGGAGAATGGAGGAGAAGGGATTGCAGCGTGGTCATCCCTTCCAGGAGATTTTTTCTTTTCTTTTCTTTCTTTCTTTTTTTTAAACTTAAGTGGATTAGGAATTGCTTTTTTTTAAAAAAAAAAATTGTTTATTTTCATTTATTCATTCATTTATAGAGAGAGAGACACACAGAAAGAAAGAAAATGTGAAAAAGCAAGCCACCAGGTCCAGGACTCAAACCGTGGTCGGCCAAGTGGGAGTGCCCAGCATCTTAACCACCATGCCACCTGCTGGTCCCCACCAGGGGATGTTTTCTTACTTCCCCACTCATTGTCTCTATCTCTCTCTCTGGCCAGTGCATGTGCCCTACAAGGAAAAAACAAACAAAAAAAAAGTTGGGACTTCCTAAATATCTGCAGTACCTTTGCTAAGTAATCACAATTTATGGTCTGTCTTAAACCACGTCATGAGTCTCATGTGAATCGGAGCTTTGGCCCCAGGTGGCCTCCCACTCAAAAAGTCACTGTTAAAAAAGGGAGGAAAAGGGAACCAGCAGTTAGCGTAATGGCTATGTTGCTGGACTCCCACGTAGTCGACCGTGGTTCGTGTCCCGGACCCGGTGGCTTAAAACTCACGCCGGGCGCGTGTGCATGCGTGCCCAAGATCCCGAGAGGAGAATGGAGGAGAAGGGATTGCGGCGTGACCATCCCCCCTGGGGGGTGATTTCTCGCTTTCTGTCTCTATGTCTCTCTCTGTCTGTCTGGCACACGTGCCATACAGTGAAAATCTCTCAAAAAAAAAAAAAAAAGGGAGGAAAAAACCAGATGTGTTCCTCTAGGGTAAGGTCAGCAAGTTGTGCCTGATGCCAGTGTCTATAAATAAAGTTTTATTGGCGCTCACTGGTGTTCACTCATTCCCATGCGGCCAATGCTGTTTTCCTACTGGAATAGCCCCGTTGAGGATCTGCACAATAGCTCCTCTGGCCAACAAAAGCTCAACTATTACAATCTGGCCCACGACAGGCAGTGCTCTCAGTCCCTCCTGGTCTACTGCAGTTTCCTCTTTCTGTATCAGAGGACAACTGCTGGATCTTTTCCCCAGCTTGCAACTGTCCTGCCTAATAACCTGAACAATGACATTTCCGCATGTCCACATTCCTTGTGAGGATACTAACCACATCAAACCTGAGAGGCGAGACGATCCCATTGTCATAGTCTACGACATATGACCTTGAAAAGAGGGCACCTATTGCAACGATGCAGTCGAACGGCCATAGTTAGAAGCCTTCCTTGGGGCCGGCAGGTGGCGTGGTGGTTAGGGTGCTGGACTTCCACATGGCTGACCATGGTTCTGGTCCCAGACCTCGTGGTATGCTTTCTCAGTTTCCCTTCTTAACTCTCTCTGGTCAATTAAAAAAAAATTATAAGTAACTCTTAAAAAAAAAAAAAAAAGGAGGAGGAGGAGGAGAGAGAGGAGGAGAAGAAGGAGAAGGAGAAGAAGCCTTCCTTTTCTGACACACAGCATCTATCGCAGATAGGAAGAGAATGTGATTTACAGATTATTTCTAAGCTAACTGACGAGCCGTCGCTACTACGGCAGGTAAACAACAGAGTACAGTTTATGAGGGGAATCCCAAACAACCATCTGTGTGTGTCAACTGCAAGGTGCGTGATCAAAAGCTACACAAAAAAAAAATTAATTTTTTTGGAGAGGTTTTTGCTATAGGGCGCATGTGCACGCCAGACAGAGAAAGACAGACAGACAAAGCGAGAAATCACCCCCCCAGCGGGGATGGCCATTCCGCAATCCCTTGTCCTCCGTCCTCCTCTCAGGATCTTGGGCACGCACGCGCACACGTTGGGCATGAGTTTAAGCCACCGGGTCCGAGACGCGAACCGCGGTCGACTACATGGGAATCCAGCGACACAGCCATTACGCCAACTGCTGGTCCCTGGAAAGCTTTCCTTAAAAACGTTACACAGAGTTACCATATAACCCCACAATTCCAGTCCTAAGTGTACAGCACAGAGAAAGGAGACACATGTGCACACAAAAACCTACATACAGGGGACCAGCAGATGGCATCACGGTTATGTCACTGGACTCCCACGTAGTTGGCTATTCGAGTCCTGGACCCGGGGGCTTAAACTCATACCAGGTGTGAGCTTTCTCTCTCTCTCTCTGGCGAGTGCACCTGCACTATATCAAAAATCTCTCTAAAAAAAGAAACAATGTATATATGGATGTTCATTATAGCATTATTTGTAATAGCTGAAAGGTAAAGACAAGCAACCAACCGTCGATCGACTTACATGCAAAAAACACATGGCCTATGCATGGGATATGCACACAATGGACTATCGCCGTACTACATAGAAGGACTGACAGGTGCTACAACAAGGATGACCCTGGTATCCTTCTGCAGCGTGAAACAGAGCAGTCATGAAACAACTCCTTTCAAATATTTAAGTCATTAATATCAAAATTCTTATACACATTTAACTTTCTTTTTTTAGGTTTTGGCCATACAGCACATGTGCTCACCTGAGAGGGACAGAGAGAAATTACCCACCCCAGGAGGGACGGTCACCCTACGATCCCTCGCCTCCTGAGATTTTGGGCACGCGTGCACACACTCTCCTGGCATGAGTTTCAAGGTGCCAGGCTCGGGACTCGAACCACAGTCAGTTACGTGGGAGTCCAGTGCCTTGACCATCACATGACCTGCTAGCCTCTCCATGTGTAACTTTTTAAAACAATCAGCATAGGTCTGATTTTAAGCAAAAATATCTCAGACCTTATTGTTCAACTAAAATTTATTTTAGTTAAATTTAAGTCTGATTTTATTTTTGGTCTGTTCTCTTAAGACAGTATGACAAAAATCTTCCCTAAATTCCACTACTGTGCTTTAAAATCACAAAGTTCTACAGGTTTTTAGGTTTTATTTTTACTAAAAATAAAATAAAAAAGAACCATAACGAGGTATGTGTGTGCGTGTGTATATAACATTTTTTTAAGGGAACCAACAGTTAAGCACAATGGCTATGTCGCTGGACTCCCATGTAGTCGACTGCGGTTCACGTCCTGGATCCAGTGGCTTAAACTCACGCCACGCGTGTGTGCGCGTGGGCCCAAGATCTCAAGAGAAGAATGGAGGAGAAAGGATTGCGGTGTGACCATCCCCTCTGGGGGGGTGATTTCTCGCTATCTGTCTCTATGTCTCTTGTCTGTCTGGCGAGCGCATGCTCCCTGTAGCGAAAACCTCTCCACACACACAAAAAAATTTTAAGTAAATAAACAAAACCTTAAAACCCCATGTGCTGGGGCCAGGAGGGAGAATAGCGGTTAAAGCACTGGACTCCTACATGGCTGACATGCGTTCAAGTCCCAGATCCAGTGGCTTGAAACTCATGGCGGGTGAACAGGTGCATGCCCAAAATCCCAAAAGAAGAGTGGATGAGAAGAGAGATTCCTTCTAACTGTCTCACTGGCAAAAGCAAGCTCTCTATGGAGAAAAACGAAACAAAACAAAACAAAACAAAACACAGAACACCAACCAACCAACCACATATGCCAAAAGGTAATAAGGTAACTTTTACAGAAATGTGGGGCCGGGTGATCAGGTTTGGTTTTAAAATGGTGGCTTCAAGTCGTAACACCTGTGCTCATATACCGTTTAGGTTTGCTATTCTAGAAACCTCACTAGACTATAAATAGCAATCTACAGGATTTCCGAATACATTTCAAGGTTAACTAGCAAATCAATTTGCAGAGACATACAAATCATATTAAGAGACTAATAAAGCATAGAAATGAGATGCAGGACCCAAATAAAATCTATACTCGTGTGCCCAATTATAATGAACTTTTCAGCTTCATCATAACTCATAGCGGTGACAAGAGAGATTGATTTTAGAAGGTGTCATCTCCTGGAAAGGCTCGGGAAAGTTTACACAGCTTCTTGAGAACCCCAAATCCTGGGAACCAGCAGTTAGCGTAATGACTATGTCACTGGATTCCCACGTAGTCGACCACGGTTCAAGTCCCGGACCCGGTGGTTTAAAACTCACGCTGGGCGCGTGTGTGTGCGTGCCCAAGATCCCGAGAGGAGAATGGAGGAGAAGGGATTGTGGCGTGACCATCCCCCCTGGGGGGTGATTTCTTGCTTTCTGTCTCTCTGTCTGTCTGGCGAGCGCACGTGCCCTATAGCAAAAAACTTCTCAAAAAACAAAAACAAAAACAAAAACAAAAAACAAAAAACCCAAATCCTCCGAATGCATTCACCGAAAAGTTCTCCTTTAGTTTGGCCTATCCAGCTCATTCTGATTGATCCATGACTACGCCGCATCAGTGACCTTCCAAGTTCAGCGAGGAACACCACCAAGGACCCTAACCTGCAACTTCCTTCTAGAAAACGACTTCGAAAGCGGAAGGTGCTGCTCCGTTTTGGTAAAACCCGGTTCTGTTTCTCACACAGATAGTCGAGGACCAGCGGCCGGTGGCTGCTTACCGTTAGGGTGACTTCATGTGTCGACCTTTGGCCCAGTGAGTTTCCCAGCATCCAATCATAGAAACGGCAAGGCGTCCACAGGGACCTGCCTGAAGAGAAATGGAAAGTGAGGAGACAGGAAGGCAGCGCCGCTGGGCTGTGTCCGCCCCATCCCTGCAGGCTTTCTTTCAGCCCAACTCAAACTCGACCCATTTTCATGGGTCACCAATTCGGTCGCAGGTCTACACGCAGACTCCGGGGTTTTGTATGCAAAGTGAAAAACTTTAAAAAAGGAGAAAGAAGGGCCAGACAATGATGCAGCTGTAACTGCACCTCCACTGGAAGTCGGGGTGCACGTCCCTGAGCTGAGCACACCAACCACTCGTGCACGCCCGTCATCAAGGCTGCCTGGAGCTGTGGGTGGATCACAGCATGAAGACCCTGTTGGGGTGTCTTCCCCCATCACCTCTTCTCCCCTCTCTTGCTCATGAGAGAAATAACTGGGTACTCAAGCATTACGATGCATGGAGAAATTTTGGAAATCTCAAAACTAGATAAAATTAATAATAGTTCAGATATCAATCCATCAAGGTCTCACCAAAGTGTCTATTTTCGGGACAGTGCCACATACAAACGACGACCACCCTCAGAAGACCACGGCTTTAGCAAAACCTCGCACACAGCATGGGTGCGTGTGTATGATGACCCCGGTACAAACACGCACGCGCGGACGAAGCCGCATTCCTACGAACCGTGCTCATAAAGACACGGGACCGCAGATGGTGTAATGGTTACGTTGCTGGAATCACAGGTAGTTGACCGTGGTTCGAGTCCTGGACCCAGCCAGCGGCTTCAAACTGGGTGCAAGTGCATGCGAGCCCCAAATCCCAAGAGGTGACCGGATGAGAAGGGACTGCTGTGAGTTCTTACTTTCTGTCTCTTTGTCTCCCTCTGTCTCTCTGGTGAGCACTCGCACCCGATAGCAAAGATGTCTCTCTCTTATGGAAAATAAAAAGAAAAACAGAAGCAAGAGCCCTTTGTCCACTGGCTCTTCTAAAATGGAGCAAAGCAAAAGTGCGTCTCAATTTTCCAATTCTTTTTCTCCTGTATCTTCATTCTGCAAGGGTTCCACTTACACGGAGGAAGAAGTCAAGTTTATACCCACAGAAAGATCATCCTTCTCTTCATGTTTAAACATACTTTTCAGTCACTATACACTCTAATCAGTCAGCCATCCTTGCCCTTCACTGAGATGAACCTCCCAGCCTTGGCGGGGTGGCATGGAGGGCACTCAAATTACCCACAGTCATGAACAAACTCAAGAATTAAGTCAACGAAATGCCCACTGCTTCCTTCAAATTCGTATTCGATGGTCTTGAGTGACGATAAAAAGGTGCCAGGTTGAGTAAAATTCAAACCCACGAATGAAGCAAAGAGTGAAGGTGTTTCTCATTAGAGAGTTCCTGTGCAACCTCAGGAAGTGTTTTTAGAAATTCAAGTAAATCTTCCCCACTGAGTCATGTTTACAGTTATTCTCTTTCAAGGAAGGAGATTAAAAGAATTCTACAGTCAAGTTCTCAGGCCCCCAAGGCTCATTATAGTGCATTTTTAAAAAGTCATAAGGATATACAAGATAAAAGTAAAAACCGGGTCAATTTCAAAAACAATCTACCAGTGAAGAAAACGACTGAGATTTAAAGGAAATTCATGTACAAATCTTTGACAGAAATGAAAGGGCACCAGGTGAATCAGGCACAGAGAAATATTGATTTTTGCTTCTAAAACAGTTTATGAAACAAATTTGGTGGGGCCAACAGACAGTGTGGAGGTTAAGACGGCTGGATCCCACAAGGCTGGTTCCCAAAGGGTTAGTTGTGTGGTTCAAGTCCCAGATCCTACCGCTTGGAAAGTGACGCTGGGCGTGTGAGCATGCATGCCCAGAACTCCAAGAGGACCCCAGTGGGAGCTTTCTCACTTTCCTTCCCTACTACTTCTGTCTCTGCCAGTCTTTAGGGAAGGCACATGCCCTATGGCAAAGCTTAACAACAAACAAACAACAACAACACACACAGAGACACAAAACTGCAATGGACATAAAATAAGAGAATATTCCTCAGACTGAGCTGAAGCAGAAAGCAAATGATTATTTTCAGGACTAGGTTGTAAATTACCAGGGGGTGCAAGTAGCCTTATGAAGAAATTGCTAAATACTGTAAAGTATCAAAATATGAGCAGATGTCACCACAATAAGCTCCAAATTGCTTGTGAATTAACACATTAAAATCCATAATAATTCAATAAGTAATTAATACGCAAACAGATCTTATTACAAGCTGTTCAGGAAAAGGCTTTAGAATCAGATCCTTATTCTTTGGTCCAAAACAGATGGTAACTCACAAATTAGAGACTTGAAATAGAAGATTATCTTTTATATATGTTGTTAAACTCAGTAAGTGTAATTAACTTATCATCTGTGTGTGATCAACAACAACAACAAGAGGGAATGATGACTTTGGTGAATAACACGCTTCTAGTTACACAACATGTCAAAACTAATTAGTTTACTGGTAGAAACAATGAATTTCAATGAGAATTCAGAGGGTCTAATGCCTGGTCATCACTAACTTTCCTATTATTGTTACCCATACACAATCGTCATCGGTGAACGGCGTTGGCAAGACAATTTACGTATCGCAAAACATTTATGAAATGCAAACGATTTTAATAAAGGCAATATAGCAAAATGCCAACTCTTGATTAATATCAAACGGATTCTACTGGGTTTTTGGAAAAGTCATGACATGCTTGTTCCTACATTTGTTCCTACATTTATTTATTTAAATAAAGAATTTTTCTTTTTTGGGGGTAAAGAATGATTTATTTTTCATTTTATTATTATTATTCCTCAATTTTGACCAGAGAAAGAGAGAGTCAGAGAGTGAGAAAGCAAGCTGCCAAGTCTGGGACTCAAACCACGGTTGGTTATGTGGGAATCCAACACCTCAACCACCACACCACCTGCTGGCCCTCTGTGTTTTTCTATCAAAATCGCATCTTTTCCAACCGGCCCATAGTTGCGAATGCCCACAGCTCTTGGAGAGTCAGGGGATGGTGCCCATGCCTGCGGACAGTCCTTCCATGTCAGAGAAGTCACTTCTCTAAGATGGTACCATAGACCACACACCTGGTGTCCCACACAAAGTGAGGTAACAGGTTTCTCACAGAGTGCTATTCCAGGTTCACGGCAAGAGACCTCCCTACACACCAGCCCCGTAACTGGGAACGAATGCACACACAAGCCAGCCCTCACCGGCGGTAAACTCCTGCCTTTAATGCTTGCCGCAATGTCTACGGGGTAAGGCTGGAAAGTAACAGAGATCTAGTCGATTATTGTCCAAATTCCTAACAGCATCCTCAGCTCCATTTCATCCATGGAACTGCAAACCCTGGAGGTCACTTTTCCACAGTGCTTTGTGAACATCTCTACAGGTGTGAAAAACCACTGTCAGGAAGTTAAAACCAATGCGTGATCCTTAATATGACATTTTCAAATTCAAAACGGGGTGTTCCTTGAAAGCACTCACTTTGGGAAGTTACATTCTCTGCCCATTAGGAAAAAAAAAAATAAACAATTTGAATATGTCCCTTTAAAAACGATGTGAAATCCCAAAACATCTTCATCCCTAAATGATGTACAGAAAAAGCCAGATCCCACATGGCTGACCAGAGTTCAAGTCCCCGCCCTGGTAGCTGGCATAAAAAAAGGGCAGGGGATTCTTGCTTTCAGAATCCATTTATTAAAACAAATTTTTTTTTTTTTAAAAAAGAAGAGACGTGGTATGATGGGTAAGGGTGCTGGATTCCCATACAGTCGACCATAGTTCAAGTCCTGGACCTGATGGCTTGCTTTCGCTTATTATTATTATTATTTTTAATTTTTTTAATTTGACCAGAGACCTAAAGAGAGATAGAGGGAAAGTGAGAAAGCAAGCCACCAGGTCTGGGACTTGAACTGGAGTAGGCCATGTGGGAGGCCAGTACCTCAACCACCATACCACCTGCTGACCCCCTGCTTTCATTTTCTCTGTTTCTCTGTGGTCAAATTAAATAAACAATAATAACAAATGGAATTAAATAAATAAATAAATATTTAAGAAAGGTAGGAAAGAAGGAAGGAACCAAAAGACAAAACCAAACCAGAACATCACAGCAATGGCCCAACCTCACCTTCCTGTAGACCTTACATGGTTGTTTTCTACGTCTTCGTTTTCAGTTAAGAATCATACAAGGGAACCAGCAGTTAGCGTAATGGCTATGTCTCTGGACTCCCTCGTAGTCAACCGCGGTTCGCATCCTGGACCCGGTGGCTTAAAACTCACGCCGGGCGCGTGGACGTGCGTGCCCAGGATCCCGAGAGGAGAATGGAGGAGAAGGGACTATGGCGTGACCATCCCCCCTGGGGGGTGATTTCTCGCTTTCTAAAAAAAAAAAAAAAAAAAAAAAAAAAAAAAAAAAAAAAACCCCCTAAAAAAAAAAAAAAAAAAAAAAAAAAAAAAGAAGAGTCATACAATTCATTTTAAAGTGGAGAACTCAATGACATCCAGTGAATCCCAAGGGTGTACAACCACTGCCTAGGTCAAGTTCCACTGCCTTTAAAAAAAAAAAAAAAAGCCTTTTTTTTCTTATAATTATCTTATTTTATCCATTCATTTATTTTTTAATTTGACCAGAGAGAGACAGAGGGTGAGAGTGAGAAAGAGAGGAAGTGAGAAAGCAAGCCACCAGATTCAAGACTTGAACCCTAGTCGGCCATGTGGGAGTGTCCAGCGCCTTAACCACCACGCCACCTGCTGGTCCCAAGTTCCACTGCCTTTGATCACTCTGACAGGAAACCAGTACCCAGAAAGCAGTCACTCCTCTGGCCCCTGTGGCCACCGGCCTGCTTTCTGCCTCTCCGGAGTTCCTGTGAGCGGAACCACATGGCAGATGACCTTGCGTTTTTGGCTTCTTTCATGAGCATGATGTTTTCAGGCCTGCTCATGTTATAGCATATCTCAGCTTTCTCTCTTTTTTTAAAAAGAGGTTTTTGTTACAGGGTGTGTGTGCTGGC